AAGATGAAGCCTCAAATGGATCACTTGCGCGTGTTTGGTTTGCACGGCTACGCTCACATTGACGATGTGAAACGGACCAAGCTGGAACCCAAGACCTTCACGTGTAAGGATCTTTGGCTAGGTAGAGAATGTCAGGGGCTTTCGCGTGTTTGACTTGGAGAATGCCAAGATCAGAGTGACTCGCTCTGTGAAGTTGGATGAGCGTGAGGTGGGAGTCATTCACGACACGCAAGAGGTCAAGCCGGAACGATTCGTTCAGGTAATGAAGGATGGTGATGAAGTCAAGGTTCAGCATCAAGTGTATCGACAGCCAGTTCTGATGATCCGATGGAAGCTGTCGAAGAGCCAGTTGCGGATGTCAAAGTGGATGATATGGATCACGCGCCAAGCATCAATGTACAGCGGCTAATGCCTTCTGAGAGCCCTGTACAAAACAGACTTGAGCTTATGGAGTATCATCAACCGACCCAAGTGCAACACGAAGATCGTTTGGCGTTTCGGCCTGAAGTGAAGCGAACAAGAGCAAGACGTGAGCCGGTGCGAATGATAAGGAGCGGCTCAGATGACAAAGAGTTGGAAGAAGGCAGTGAAGGTCCACCGACTCCGAAACGTGCTAGGATTGACGAGGATGGACTCATTACAGAAGCCGTTCTTGCCTACGCTGTTAGCGTTAACGATGACACGGACCTGCCAACTACGTATGCTCAAGCAATGGCAAGCGACGATGCGATGAAATGGCGTGAAGCAATGGATGCTGAGCTTTGTTCTCATGAAAAAAATTGATCTTGGACAAAGATTAAACGCATAATTGGATCACGATGGATATTTGCCAAGAAGCGTGATCGAAATGGCGATGTCGTGCAATGCAAGGCACGACTGGTCGCGAAAGGATCCAAGCAAAAGCATGGCGTCAACTTTTTCGAGACTTATTCTCTGGTCGCCAACGTGAATTCAATCCGGATAAATCTCGCAGTATGTGCTGAATGCAACTATCAAAATTGAACAGCTGGACGTCGACACGGCTTTTCTTAACAGCGTGTTGACGGACAACGTTTTTATGGAAGTTCTACTAGGTGTCAACAATGATAAAGGATGCATAAGTCAGCTAAACAAGGCTATCTACGGACTGAAACAAGAAGCAAGTGCTTGAAATAAGACGACTCATCGTGTCTTCGAGAGGAATGGCTTCAAGAGTTGCGGGGCAGATCAATGTGTTTATGTCAAGTGCACGAATAAAGGGTTTGTCTGCGTTGGACTATATCTGAATCACATGATTATCGCAGCAAGGACCAGCGAAGAAATAAATCAAGTCAAGGACGTTCTCAAGAATGCTTTCAAGATGAAGGTGTTGGGTAAGGTAGAATAATATGAGTATTGAAATCGATCACGCCAAGTCAGCTGGAACTTTGACACATCGGCGACGTGGTCAAGCGATTCGGTCAACAAGATGTCAAGAGCGTGAATAACCCATGCGCATCAGAATTGAAGCTGTCGTCAAAGCAGTCACCAACATCGGAAGGGAAACGGCATTATTGGCTAACGCGATCGCACCTTGGTTGTCTTCCCAACCTGTGTTCCTTCAACTTGCTCGTGTCCTGTGTCTCTTAGCATTTCCCGCGTCCAAAGAACTTCCTACGTTCAAAGTCTGAGAGCCATATACTCAACTTCCGCTGAACTTAGCGCAACGTCCGATGATATTTCGACTTGAAAACCACTGGTGCGCTCGCAATCATGACAATAGCTCCCGAAACCAAACGTCTGTCATCGGTGTTGTTGCCACAATCTGCATCCGAGTATATCCTGACCGCAACGCTCCCACTTCCTAGATGATCCCGATTTGGCTCGTAGTCTTCAAGTACCTTACCACTCGAATTGCTGCGCTCCAGTGTTGTAGTCCCGGGTTCTCCAAAAATTGTGATAGCTGTGTTACCACGTACGCAATATCCGGTCGAGGACATGTCGTTATATACAGCAAACATCCAATCAAAGAGCGATAAGGCTTGGATCGCATTGCCGACCGCATGCATTCGGCGGTGTCATCCCAACACTCCCACTCACCGCTAATGCTGCGTGTGCTTTGTCGCTGACTTGACCTTGATTACGGAGGCTTTGCGTAGATATTTTCGCATCTTGGTTCCAAGTGCCTTCATCAGCATATCCGCAAGCTGACTTCGTCAATATAGTCGATGTTTAACAGTCCTCCTAGCACGTTCTCGCGAATAAAGTGGATCTTGATGTCCACATGCTTGAACAGGCAGATGACGTCGCCATATTTACGAGGCAGTCACGGTAAACATTTACATAATGGTTGGCGTTCATTGGTCTAGATCAATCACAATGCTTATAGCAGCTTCTAGAAGGATCTAGAAAGACAGGCTTAGAGATAGCACAGAGTAGCGAACTAAGGACCTAATCACATTCACTTCAGTTTTACCTCTTACTCAACAGTGCGAGAGTGTGGAAAAGCCGATAAATTTTGTTATGATGACGTGCAACTCTACACCGCACTCAAGTCCGTTCAATTCCATGTGTCGCAGCAAAAGCTGAAGTCCTTCTTACATTTTTGAATGAAGATGGTTAAGTCGCATTGTTGCTAGGATCTATGTAGTTGATGTAAGGATCTGATTACGCATTCGATATATATATCAAAATACATTCATAATCGAAACTTCTGAAGTGCTGTACAGCTGGTAGAAGGAAGCCAAATGTACCCAGACGTACCCAGAAGTTAACATAAAATTTATTGAAGAAGACCAACGCGAAAACCACTGTCCCACATGGGTAGTAAAAGATTCCGGTAGCACGTAGAACAGTGACATAGAAAAGATTTTTTTGGAAGTAGAACCAAACAATTAGATACATCGTAATTTTTTTACCAACAAATACAATAGCCTTCCTACCGATATCCTGCCTTCTCTCACACTCGCTCCACTTTTATCGACCAGCCAACGTCCGCCCTCCTCTGCGCGCTCCAAAGAAAGTCCAAGCTTAGACATATAGGTCGACTTCATTCGAATCTTCGTTGGAGCCTATTAAATCGCTCTCACGCCGTGATAAGTTGTCGTGGTTGTACGGTGTGTGGTCCACTCTGGAAACTCCATTTGCTGGATCTACGCTTTAGTGCATTTGCCTGTCCCGCCAGTGAAACAGATTCAACAAATCAAATTCAAATTTAAACAGAACTAACATTTCGCGACCATCAACAAACTAGTCAAAACCAGAGCCAATGAGAATTGATTATGTTCGATGCGTGCAGCATCCCAAGAAGAAATGCCAAAATTGTAAGAAGTTAGGTCATACTATTAAGAAATTTTACTAAAGTAAAACAAAGAAAACCGCGAATGAAAGGAAATAACAATTTACAAGAAAGAGGTTCGATGAATTACTTTGATCTCGAAGAAGACAAACGTAACTGAATTTGTTGAAGTTAATCGGAAACATGCAAATTGCGGTGGTCGGTACTGTTATCGTCATGTTGGACACACGTGCCTCCTCCAACGTGGTTCGACCAGCTTTAACAAACCAACCGTCAAATTCGTATTTGCACACAAAATACGTTTTGACATAAGTCATATGGATTCCCGCGAAACAAAGAGTCGCAACGTCAACACTGAAATCGATGAAAAATGTTCTAACAACATTCAAGTACTCGAATGGTCAAAAGTGTCATTTTGGACAATCCGAAATTAAGGTTTTGGGACAAACGGTTTTTCAACAAGGTTTAAGTGTCTGCAAAGCGAAATTGCATCGCTCACTAACTACTTACGACAACTTTAAAGAAGCTACAAAGTTTACTTGGATTAGCAGGCTATTTTTGCCTATTTGTCGTCAATTTTGCAACACTTACACTACCGCTTGTTTGTTTGATTAAAAAGACATGGGGCGAACATAAAAAACCGATCGTTTCGTTTCATTCAAAACGTCTAGCAAAACACACCGGTTCTACAGCTACCACACTTCAAAAAGGACTAAATCGCTACGACGGATGCATCTGGATACTGTATTGGATGAGCTTCATAAAGTCCAAGATCATCCAATTGCGTTTTATTGAAAGATACTTGGTGTACATAAATTAAATTGGCCCAAGCACGAAAAAATTATTTGCAATAACATTTGCTCTCGAGAAATGGCATCACTATCTTATTGGACGTAAATTTAATATTTTTTTGGATGACCTGCTAATTGATATATCATCATCCCAAAGTTTCTGCAAAAATTGCTAGATAATTGACATATTTTGCTCAGTTTATGTTTCGGATTTATCATGTAACAGAATAATTCAGCGTTGTTGCAGATGCCTTGTCACTAATCTCAATCAGAATTTATTCCGTTTGGAGCCACACTTCGTCGCAAGTTAATGGTCTATCTTTCATGTCAGTCACTCCTCGTCGTATGAAAGTTCGGGGGTGTCTGTTGATATTAACGAGATCGATGCAGTAAGTCGAATTCAACATGCAAGTTCATTCGCCTTCACGCCAGCAGTTAAATAAGAATTTTAAAGAGGATACAAAGAGGACACATACTTTAAGTACTAATGAAAAGAACTTTGGTCAGTCTATGTTAAACATCAAGGAGTATTGTTCCTCCAATCAGTCAACAAAGTTTTACGACTATGTGTTCCATCAAATTTCCGCCTTCGAACAAAATTTATTGATTTTTTCACGACTCATCTATCGCAGCACATCCAGGAATCAGAAGAACATTCTCACGTGCTGCACAATGGTATTTCAAGCATGAATCGGAAAAAGATTTTTAAGAATATTTAAAAGGTTGTGTAATTTGTAACCGATGGAAAAACTCAAACGCTAAGAAGAACGGTAAGCTAATGCCAACCTTAATTCCACAAGCTTGCTGGAAAGTTGTATAAATGGAGTTTATAACAGGATAACTAAGGTTCGATGGTTCGATGCCATTGTGACTATTGTGGACAAAACATCAAAACGCGCAAAGTACAAAGCCGTCAATATAACCGATGATGCCGAAAACTTTGCTCATCATTTCTTCGATTGTGTAATCAGACATCATGAAGTTCCATCTGCTACCATAAGCGGTAGATTCAAATTTACTTTATAATTTTGACTCCCTAGCAAAACTAATGGGTATAAACTAAAACTGACTACTTCATACCATGCCTAAGCCGACAGACAAACAGAACGACGAACCCTATTCCCGGAGATGCACTTCGATGCATGATATCTTATTATGGTGATGATTGGACAAAGAAGTTGGGAGCAATAGAGTACGCAGACTAAAGGTTGGTGAGCGCTTCAACTCAACTGATGCCGTTTAAGATTGATGCTGAAAGAAGAGAGACTCATCCGTTTGGACAACTCATAAATGCTGACAAGAATCAAACGCAACAACGAAGTATCGCCGAACCTGCTAAACATTTGTTGGAAATTTAAAAAAAAATTGAAACGGGAAAATGCAATTTACTCTCAGCTCAAAAATCGGAAATTAGATTGTATGACCGAGAAACAAGTAAAACGATTTTTAAAGAAGAAGGTATAGCTATCATAGATACTCGTCGAATTACGCTTTTGCATTCTGCTCGAAACATGGGCAATAAAAAACGCGCAAAATTAAAGGCAAGAAAATTGGATCATATAAAATTCATTGCATGATAAGCGAGCAAATGCATACTTTCTGGCAGTTTGAAAAGGACAAATACAACGTTTAACGTTGATGTATTAAGTCTCGATGTTCCGAATCCGAATCGCATTGAAACGCAAGTTTTTTTATTATTTATTGAGGAAGAATTCCATGTTATTAAAAACTACATA